CATCTATGTTTTGTACCAAAAAGAAATGAAAAAGTTAGGAATTATCTATTTACGAAGCACCACATTGTTTTGAAGATATTCATTGTTGAATCATATTAAGCCTTATAACTTTTTAAAGATTTAAATTTAGTCCATTGCATCCACTTATGCATGAGTTGGATCTTCTCAAGGTGGTGTACCTGCTTTGCTTATTTTCATATAGATCGTATGATATTAATTTCATCAAGTCTATTCATCTTTTGTATTTGTGTTCTTTTTGTAAGTTTATTCATCTCATTAATTTATTTAAGATAAAATGATGAAAATGGACAAAAAATTATTATTTTTTCCTATAAAATGCATTTGAGAAAAATGTACCTTATTGCAATAGTAATAAGAAAGAAAATGCATATATCAAATCAATGAGAATGGAATAGATTAAATTAATTACCAACCTAATAATAAATTTTAATAAATTAAAAGGAAAAAAAATTATTTTGCAAGAACGTGATTGAAAATATTGATTAAAGTATAAAAATAGATTGAATGTGAATTAGAGATTAAAAAGTCTAGAGTTATGACTTATTGTCCTCAATTCTAGGAAAAATAAATTTTGTGTTATGATAAAATTTAATACCTAAGGAAATTATGATAAAATTAACCTTTTCATTGTTGACACTTTGTTTGGATTTGCTTGAGCAGGTATTTTGGTAACTTTTACTTTCTTTAAATGAGTTTAGAAATTGCAAAACAATTTTAGAAGCTAACACTAAGCAGGATATAAAGACCCCATTTAATTTGGATGATGTTATTCTTAATTTGTGTCAATAGTTTGCTTTCTTTTTTTTAGTTGTTCCACTCTTAAAAGGTACACTAATCTAACCATGTTATATAATGAACTATACATCTACAAAAAACAAATAGATAAAGTTGTTAACTTTTTGTTCATAATTGATTGAGATTTGATAAATCTTATGAATGCAATTTGATTTCATAGCTATAACAACAATTCTTGGAAAAGTCTATACAAGTTAGTCACCTTCCATGGTATCTTAAGTTTAATGATACTATTATGTCATTTATAAAAGTTTTGTCCAGAAAGAAAATGACAAAGTTGAGAATTATTAATTTATGAATCACCAAATTATTTTGAAGATGTTTATGGTTGAATCATATTAAGCCTTACAATTTTTCAAGATTTTTAACTTCCTCAGCCTATTCATCTCTTTGTATTTGTGTTTTTTTTCATATAAGTCTATTCATCTAGTTAATTTTGCTTAAAAAAATATGATGAAAAATGGATAAAATTGTCATTTTTTCCTATGAAATGTATTTAAGAAAAATATACCTTATTAAATAGTAACAATGAAGAAAGTGCAAATATTGAATCAATGGAAATGGAATAAATTAAGACAATTACCAACCTAATAATAAATTTTAATAATTTAAACTGATAAAATTTGATTTGCTAGTGTGATTGAAAATATTGATTAAAGTACAACATAGATTGAATGTGAATCAGATATTAAAAAGTCTAGAGTTGTGACTTCAATAGTACTTTTTTTTTCTTTTTTTTTTTTCTTGAAATCAAAATTTAATAGCTAAGACAATTATGACAAATAAACCTTTTCATTATTGACACCTTGTTTGAATTTGCTTGAGTAGGTGATTTTAGTAATTTTTACTTTCTTGAAATGAGTTCAGAAATTGCAAAACAATTATAGAAGCTAACACTAAGTGAGATATAAAGACTCCATTTGATTTAAATGATGTTATTCTTAATTTGTGTTAATAGTTTGACTTATTTTTTACTTGTTCCACTCTTAAAAGGTACACTAATCTAACCACATTATGACTGAACTATACATTTGCAAAAAAAATAATATATATAGACAAAGTAGTTAAAATTTTGTTCATAATTGATTGAGATTTGATTGGTCTTATGAATATAATTTATTTTTATAGTTATAACAACAATTTTTGGAAAAGTCTATACAAGTTAGTCAATGTTAACTATAATTTTTTTTTTATGAATAAACAATATTACAAAAAAAAAGTAATAATCTACTTTCCCGACAATGTTATCTTTGTATTTATATTTTTTTTCATAAGTCTATTCATCTCATTAATTTTGCTTAAAATAGTATGATGAAAAATGGATAAAATTGTCATTTTTTTCTCTCTATGAAATGTATTAAAGAAAAATATACCTTATTAAATAGTAACAATGAAGAAAGTGCAGATATCAAATCATTATAAATGAAATATATTAAAAAAATTACCAACCTAATACTAATTTTTAATAATTTAAACGGACAAAATCCGGTTTGTGCAAATGTGATTACAAATATTGATTAATGTACAAAATAAATTGAATGTGAATCATAGATTAAAAAGTTAGAGTTGTGATTTATTATCATCAATTCTAGGCAAAATAAATTTTATATATGTGTTGCGATTGCAAGTACTATTGCCTTCGATAGTACTTTTTTTCTTTTTCTTATGATCAAAGTTTAATAGTTAAGGCAATTATGATAAAATGAATCTTTTCATTGTTGACACTTTGTTTGGAATTGCTTGAGAAGGCGATTTTGGTAACTTTTACCTTCTTCAAATGAGTTCAGAAATTGCAAAACAATTCTAAAAGTTTACACTAAGCAAGATATAATGACCCCATTTGTTTTGGACAATGTTATTCTTAATTTGTGTTAATAGTTTGGCTTCTTTTTTTCCTTGTTTCAATCTTAAAAGGTACATTAATCTAAACATATTATATAATGAATTATACATGTACAATATATCAATATTAGAGGTAGATAACTTCTCACATCTATCAAAACTTGTCTCACTCTTTGCTTTGCATTATTTTTTGGAGTAACACTCATTAATCTTGTTCAAGATAGTATGGATGAAAAATAGACAAAGTTGTCATTTGTTTTCTTATAAAATGTATTTGAGAAAAATGTACCTTATTGCAATAGTAACAATGAAGAAAATGCAGATATCGAATCAATGGAAATGGAATAGATTAAAACAATTATCAACCTAATAATAATTTTTAATAATTTAAATGGACAAAATTTATTTTGCGAGAATGCGATTGAAAATATTGATTAAAGTACAAAATAGATTTTATCTATGTGACTTATTGTTCTCAAGTTCACGCAAAATAAATGTTATATATGTGTTGTGATTGTGAGTACTATTGCCTTCAATAATAATGCTTCATTTTTTTTCTTTTCTTGTAGTCAAAGTTTAATAGCTAAAAAAATTATGATAAAAATGAATCTTTTCGTTGTTGATACTTTGTTTGGATTTTCTTGAGCAGGTTATTTTGGTAAATTTTATTCTCTTGAAATGAGTTAAGAAATTGCAAAATGATTGTAGAAGCTAACACTAAACAAGATATAAAGACCCCATTTGGTTTGAATGATGTTATTCTTAATTTGTGTTAATAGGTTGACTTCTTTTTTTACTTTTTTCACTCTTGAAAGGGACACTAATCTAACCACATTATATAATGAACTATATGTTAAAAAAAATACACAAAGTAGTTAACTTTTTGTTCATAATTGATTGAGATTTAATTGGTCTTATGAATGCAATTTGTTTTCATAGTTATAACAACAATTCTTGAAAATGTCTATACAAGTTAGTCAATGTTTGTTGTTAACTAAAAATTGTTTTTTTTTGTATGAATAAGCAATACTACAAAAGAAATAGTGATCCACCTTCATACAACACTCGTAGACTTCATACTATTCAACACAAATTTACCAAGTAGTTTATTTTTTTTAGTTTAGCTATGGTAATAGCCATGGTTTTCATTGTTTTCCTTATGCTCAAATGGTATCATGTTATTGTGAAATAAACCATTACGCCCATAATAGCATTTTGTAATGCATTTGGATGTGGACAATCAATTTTTGAAAAAAGTAGATGTGGTATAGCATCACTATGAAGAGGGGGATCCTAACTAGGTTAGCACCTTGCTCCCCATCAATCATATGCTTCACATCAAGAGTGCTAATATTAGAAGAAAAATTAAAAGTACAAAGTGGGAGGACCAAACCAAACCCACCAAAAAGATTACAAAGATTAAAAGTAAGCAAAGTAAAAACAGAAGGAAAAAGATCAGCCTTGACACAATGCCAAAACTTCACCTAAAACCAACAATACAAAACCAATATGACATATCTAAAATAGTGCTATCATAGTACCAATATGCCATACCAAACTGGCAAATACAACACATAGAATCTATCATCTAACAACTCCATCATGAGTACTTATTTGATTTAGAAGCTCTTGATCTTGTCCTCGACTTCACTTTCATCCACTTATGGAAAAGTGGCGATCATCATTTTTAGTTTATGGATAAGGGCTTCTCATGTATACTAGAAGATGGGAATTGAGCACTCTTTGGTTCATATTAAGGATCAGCTAAATAAACGAGTATAGCTCATGGGAAGCATGATGATAATTGTTGGGTTTAGGGTTTACATGATGATGATAAATAGTATAACATTTGGAGAGATAAGTTAGGTTACTTGACATTCATTGCAACATTAATTGCATTAATTGAGAGAAACCAAAGACCAACTCAAGCATCAGAGTATCTTTTTGCATATATCCCCCATTTATCCATTTTGGACAAGTATGCTTGACGAATGGTTAGGAGGACGAAGACCAGTAAAAAGAAGGACTAGATCTTGATTTAGCTATTCAAGTTGAAGAACCTGCTATTATTACTAATAATAGTAAAAACGAAGAGAAAGTCCATTATAAGGCTTGGGAAAAGTCAAACAGACTTTGTCCGATGTTTATATTAGAGTTAGAATTTTTCTATTTTTCTCTCATGATATATTTTCTGTTATTATCAATTACTTTTTTTTAGTTAGTTAACAACAATATCTTTCTAATAAGAGTTTGTTAGCTTTCATTTTATCAAATGTTGTATATATATAACAGAGCACATGTATTTTAAATAGGTTGATCAAATAAACAAATTCACGTTCTTCATTCTTTGCGCATCTAATTTTTGAAACACTAATATGGTATCATCACTGTGACAACCTTCTTCACTCTTCCACATGCCATTTTCTTTCAATTCTTGCTCATCTTCTTGATTGACCATGGAAAATTCAAACCAAAACAATTCATCACCGGATCATCTAGTAAATTCGAAAAATCCACTATACCTTCATCCTAGAGAAAATCCGATGCTCATTCTTGTTTATCCGCTTTTGACTGAGAGCAGTTTCCATCAATGGCAACGTGACATGATGGTTGTTCTTGAAACAAAGAACAAAGAGAATTTCATTACTGGTTAGTTTCCATGTTTTCCAATCACCGATCCCCTTCATGATGCCTGGCGTAGATGCAATCGCATGATGATGGCTTGGCTTACGCGATCCATGAGTCTGTCGATAAAGAAGTCTGTGATGTGGATGGATACTACAGCTAAAATGTGGAAAGATCTCAAGGATCAATTTTCTCATTCTGACAAATTTCGCGTTGTTGATCTTCAAGATCAGATCCAAAATTGCAAGCAAGGTGATTCTAGTATTTCTGAATACTATACACGATTGAAAATTCTATGGAAGGAAATTGAAATGTATAGATTAGTTTTAATTTGCACTTGTTCCCCATCTTGTTCATGTGGACTTCTTCAAAAACTACAAAAAGAGAGGGAAGATGATTGTGCCATTCCCTTTCTTCGTAGTTTAAATGATGAATATTCGCAAGTGCGTGCTCAGATCATGATGATGCATCCAATGCCATCAATTGTCAAGAGTTTTTCCATGATTCTTCAACTTGAAAGGGAGTTTGTTGGTAACTCTTCCAAACCTTCTTCTCAAGATTCTATTGCTTTCACTGTTTCTCATAATGATCAATCTAAATACAATAGCAAAACCAAAAATACTACCATAGTGAACAAAAATAATACAAATTCTAGAAAACCTTATGGAAGGAACAATAAATATTGTGAACATTGTAAGAAAACTAATCACATAGTTGACACTTGCTATTGGAAGATTGGATTTCCTACTGGATATAGAAAATCAAATAGAGGTATTTCTTCTAGTTCCGTTGCTTCTGCTAGCTTGGTTGAAGTAGCTCCAGACACAACCTCACATCATTCTGACTTGGTTGAAAATGCTAACCGTGAATAAATTAGTTTCTCAAAGGAACAATATCAGGCTATCATGGCTCTTCTTCAATATTCTAAAGATAATTCAGCTTCTGTTAATCATGCTCAAACCTCAATTGTTAATCATTCAGGTGATGTTTCTTGTTCATTTTCATGGATTTTGGATAATGGTGCTACAAATCACATTTGTCCATTCAAATCTTTGTTTAAATTTCTCAAACCCATAAAACCAATTACCTTAAGATTACCAAATAATGTCATTATCAATGCTAATTTTTCTGGCAACATTCACCTTGGAAAACTGATTCTTGTCAATGTTTTCTATGTACCAGATTTTACTGTTCATCTTATTTCTATTCCTTGACTTATTTCCTATATCAATTACATGGTTATATTCTATGATATGCATTGTTTAATTGTGCAGAAATCCAATTTTTAGATGATTGGAGCAGCTAAGCAATGGAATGGCTTATTTTACTTGCAAGACTCAAGTGACTTGGACTCACACGAATCTTCTTCAAATCATGTTTTTCCTTTAAATTTTTTTAGATGTAGCTACCACTGATAGTTCTATGTTGTGGCATCTTCAATTAGGGCATACTTCAAATAAAGTGTTAAAGCATTTGTCTTCTAAATACAATGATATTGTTTTTTATTGTTTTCAACCATGTGACACATGTCATTATGCAAAACAGAAAAAGCTTTCTTTTCCTGTTAGTAACAAAAAAAGTTCTAGATCTTTTGAACTTATCCATGTAGACATCTAAGGCCCTGTTGCCACTACTTCTATAGATGGTTTAAAATATTTTTTTATCTTTTGTAGATGATTTCAGTAGGTTTACTTGGATTCATTTAATAAAAGCTAAATCTGATGTCAAATTCATTCTTCCTTCTTTCATTCAATTAATTGAAAATTAATTTGGACTCAAATTATAGAGAATCCGATATGATAATGGTAAGGAATTTTCCTTAAATGATTTTTTATCTACAAAAGGCATATTTCATAAAACTTCATGTGTTGAGACCCCTCAACAAAATGGTATTGTTGAAAGAAAACATCAACACTTGTTAAATGTTAGACATTCCTTATTGTTTCAAGCAAAATTACCAACTTGTTTTTGGTCCTTTGTTGTTAGACATGCCACTCACATAATTAACAGATTACCTACTCTTTTTTTAAAACTTAAAACTCCTTATGAACTTGTGTATGGTCATGCTCCTGTTTTAAATTCTTTAAAAATATGTGGTTGCCTAGCATATGATAACACTATCAGTTCTAGAAGAACTAAATTTGATAGCTTCCAAGTGCATTTTTCTGGGTTTCAAAGTTCTAACTAAAGGATATATTTTGTATAATCTTCAAAACAAATCCTTTTTCATTTCTAGAAATTTTATTTTCTATGAAAACCATTTTCCATATGCCACTAATTATTTACAATTGCCCAACATAGACACTACAAGTAGTATTACTGACATATCCCAATTTGATTCTCTTATTCAATTTGACACTATTGATTCAACTATTCCTACACAGATCACTGAATCTATTTCTCATGATTCTGTCCAAGTTATTAAGCCTACTGCAAGAGTCTCAACAAGGATTAAAAAGCCTCCTTCATACTTAGATGATTATCATTGCCCAACAATAGTTTCATCCAATGTCACTTATAGTACCAAACATCCTTTACATTCTTATCTTTCTTATTCTAAATGTTATAATTCCCATACTGCATTTTTCTTATCTATATCTAGTACAATTGATGCCACTTCCTTCAAAGAAGCCACTAAACTTGATTGCTGGAAGCAGGCCATGTTGGCCGAATTACAAGCTCTAGAGAGGAACAACACTTAGTCATTGGTTAGCCTTCCTCCAGGAAAAAAAGTTGTAGGATGTAAATGGGTTTATAGAACCAAATACAAAGTAGATGGATCCATCGAAAGACATAAAGCAAGACTTGTGGCTAAAGGTTTTACACAAATAGAAGGGGTGGATTTTTTTTGAAACAATTTCTCCAGTAGTCAAATTAACTACTGTTCAGTTTCTTCTATCCATTCCAGTGTCTTTCGGTTGGTTTTTACATCAACTTGATGTTGATAATGCATTTTTACATGGTGACCTTCAAGAAGAGGTTTATATGAAGCCACCACCAGGATTAATTCTTCCTTCATCAATCCTTGTTTGCAAATTACAAAAATATTTATGTGGATTAAAGCAAGCTAGTCGACAATGGAATGCAAAATTAACTTTTGCTCTAATTCAATTTGGTTTTACTCAAACTCCAACTGATCATTCTCTTTTTGTAAAGCATATTGCTGAATCATTCACAACACTTTTAGTCTATGTCGATGATATAGTGCTTACAGGTAACAATCTTTGTATAATAAATCAAGTAAAAGATTATCTTGATAATCAATTTCACATCAAGGACCTTGGTGAATTGAAGTATTTTTTGGGCTTTGAAGTTGCACGATCTAATAGAGGATTGGTCTTGAATCAAAGGAAATATTGTCTTGAAATTCTTTCTGAATTTGGACTTACTAGCACTACTAGAAAAATTGTATTCTAAGTCGGTTATTTTACCATATCTACATCAGTTTTAAAACCGACTTAGATAAGGCCGTCGTAGATGAATGAACATATCTACGTCGGTTATGTAAAAGCCGACTTAGATGTATTTATACATTTAAGTCAGTTTTTACAAAACTGTCTTAGATATGCATATACATCTAAGTCAGTTTTTATCAAAACTGACTTAGATGTATATATACACATCTAAGACGGTTTTTATTCAAAACCGACTTAGATGTGCATATATACATCTAAGTCGGTTTTTGCTTAGAACTGTTGTAGATTATATTTTTTTTAACCAGGTTAATTTTTAAAATAAAATTGATTCAATTATAAATAACCTGCAAAAGTACACTTTATGTCAGATATAATATAGTCCTCTTTTCAGTGTTTAATATCAGTACACTTTATCAGGAAAGACCTTGATAGATGAAAAAGTCCATACTTCACTTATAAATCAAAACAGAGTCAGTCCATCATAGTCCATAGTAAATTACAGCCTCCAAGCACATTCTATTAAAAACATTTGAAAATTAAAGAAACCAAATCTACTATAAACATAAGAAATAAGGACTCACTATCCAAAACTAAATGAACAATTTAAAACAGACACGTCTCCGTTCAACAAGGCACCAATAAGTATGTAGCGTATAGACTAGGAATGGGAAATAGCACAAAGAATCCTCAACCAATCCACACAATTATCAGGAATGCTTGACTCACCAAGACATGCTCCCTATTTCCCCTTCCGTTCTCACCTATATTTCACTAACCCAAAATAATAAACAAACCAAGAATACAAGCAACAAAAAACAAATCATTAAATATGAGAGGCATTAGATTCCAATGAAAAATTCAAAACTCCAAATAAGATGCAACATGCACCAAGAACAGTTTGAGTGGCTCTGGTGATGATTTTGAATGTCAGAAGAGATTTTAGAGTCATCACAGCCTAATTTTTGAACAGCAAGTCCATAAAGACAATGCAAGTTCCATCTAATTTTAAGGCTCTCCATAACCACTTCAACATACCTTTTCAAGACACGCTAATTGCATTCATCACTTGGGAGGTTGATTCACTTAGTGAATTGGTCAATAAACATTTATTGGACCACTTTGATGCTACTTGGGCCAGAGCCCATTCGGAAGCAAATTAATGTTACTCGTTCCAATGTGTAGCATACGTTGTGTTATTTCTAATTTAATTTCTTTTATATTTTTTTTCTTCTCCTTAAGAGATAATTCTTCATACATTTGTCAAGCTAAAATACCATTCGAAATAAATAAAATATGTATTTAAATAAGTTACTATAAACGTCATATGTTTATGTTATACTATACTATGTGATTGCCTTTTTGGGTACTCGTAGTGCCACCAAGATTTGATAAGATAACAAAGGTTGGAGTGTTCAACACACACAATCAAACCAATTACCTACTATACAATTGGCTAATCTTCTAATTTTTCATAAGGTGGACATCATCGTCTAGTCACTAGTGGGTTTATTTATTTAGTAAAATATTCTTTTGAGGCACTGCTTAGCTGGTACTACAATGTCATTGGTTCACCTATCTCCAACTAATTAGTACTCCTATCAGTTATGTGAGGAAGCCAATTATTCAACATTAAACTTACCTCGAACAAAGTTTCAAGGTGGGTTGAAATTCCTTATAAAGATTACTTGCTTAGAAAGACGTAGTTTGAAACTTGAAAATCTCAACACCACTATTTTATTTATTTATTTGAAACTTGAAAGCAATTTGACAAACAGACAAAGTAAATTTTAAGGATTTTCTTGGTGCTCTTAATGTAAGCATACAAACAAGAACATTACTAATATATACAGGATCCAGGATCTTGCTTGGCGTTCGAAAGCCAGTGGTAAATGAAGCAGGCTTATTGATAAACCAAATGGTAGCCATTATCACACTTTGTATTTGTATGGTAAATATATACATATATAAGAAAACAATAAAGCTATAGTATTCCCAATCACACAATTCAGCAATATCATTTTAGTGAAATTGAAAATAACAGCTGAATATGAAAGTTTGTCTCTCCATTTTTTTGCCCTTTATTTATTTGACTACTGAAAAAAAACTGCCCCCTAAACAATACAGATCAAAATCTCCCATAAGTGTTGTAGTTTGTTATTTCCAAACATACAGTGTATTGACTATTGAATGTCTTCACCATAAAAAATCATATGCTGCATAACTAGTTATTTGAAGTGATTTGGATTGCCCATGTTGTAATCACAAGTTAGGGTAGCATGCTATGACTGTTAAATTTGATTAAAAAAATTCTACCAGCTACACTAGTATAATATATATTATATCATATACAAAAAGTTAGATCTGCATAGGTAATCATCATATACAAGCTCTGTAGTTAATGTCATAAAAGCAAAAGGAAGTGCACAACAATTTGTATCAATGAGGTTATGAGAAACAGAAATCAGTTCAGAACAATTTAATACAAACTGTACCTTGAAGATGTCTGATAAAAGCCCAAAGAAGATGAACAATTATACTTTACCCTGTCACCTGCAGAATTGTATAAGGAAAACATCAATCTTTCTGATAATTAAGGCTCCTTATATGAAGAAAAGAAGCATACATACCTAGTTTAAACACACAACTTTTAGTTGTCCCAGAGGTAGATGGAACATTATCAGCTTCCAACTTAGGTTGAGACTCAACGCCGTATGAAGTAGGTGCATTTGAGGAATTAGGTGTATCTGGTTCACTAGCTGGTGGATCCATGCTCCTCGCCGTGTCTGTGGCTGTAGGACTTTGTTTAGCGAAGTTGCAGGATTTCTCAGCATTAAATCCATCTTTGAGCAGCTCAGCTTCTTTGGAAGATAAACCCTTTAAAAGTATAAAAACACAACAAATGAAGATTCATTATCAAAGTTGTCAAGTAAAAAAATAATTCAATGACACATCAACGAAAAAGGTGTCCATGAATTAATCCAAATATCATACCAACAAGGAAACTTTATCTTACACCCAAAAGTGAATGGCTATCAAATATGAGCAATTTAGCTCCAAAGTGTTTTGCAAGTGCTTTTGCCAACGTCTCCTGATATATTTCTGACCCTGCAAAAAAATGGCAAGTGAGGGGAACAATAAATTGAAAAGAAGGAAGTAAGAACCAAAACAAAATCATTAAAAAATAGCCCACACACCTGCAAGATCTTACTCGTAGCACCAATTCTCCTGTTTAACAAACTCTGTGTAATGGAAGGTATAAAATAGTAAAAACACAAAACGAGAAAAGAATAAAGGAAAATCATTGCAATTATGAAATTTGGAGCCCTAAAATATAGAGAAAAAAATATAATTTGAATGTGTTAGGCGTTAGGCCTCTTGGGATCTTTTGTAGTTCACAATAGAAGTTCCTAAGAATTTAGAGCCTGGTCTCTCCCGCCTAAATCTGCTTCCGCAATACGAGAGCTAACAAACTAACATGGCCTGAATAAGAATATGAGAATATTAGGGCTTACGCGATTAGGGAGAAAAATGAACGCAACATTAGGGCTTTTCAATGAGCAGGTTGAGAGATTAGGGGAAAAAAATAAACGCAACATTCAGAGCACAACGTTCAGAGCTTCCGTCGTCGAGGGCTTTCCGGTGACACTTCACGAGGGCCGTCGCTGCCGGTGGGAGAGTGAAAGGTGCACGCATGAACTAAGAAAGAACACAAGGGTTGCCGGTGGTAGGGTTGTGGGTGGGAGATGAACTAAGAATGAACACAAAGCAGCAGGGTGGGAGGTGAAGGGCGCGTATGTTGAGAGAGAACCCCCGCGGCCTGGATGAATTTGGGGTTCATATCTAAGTCGGTTTTAGAGAAAAAACGTCATAAATCACAAGGGTTATCCAATTTTATAACGTGAACCGTCGTAGATTACGTTACCTTTATTTACAAAATTACCACCGTGTTTTATTCTACATTGGGTTTTAGAAAACTGACTTAAATTAAGCGACTTAGATAGATCAGTTTGTAGTAGTGTAGATGTAAACCAGTCAATTATCCAGCACATCCTTCTATTAAACTAAATGAAGATGAAGGTGATCTTATCACTGATCCCACTGGTTTTAGAAGATTAATTGGAAAACTTCTATACTTAAATAATACCAGACCTGATATTAGTTTTATTGTGTAGCAACTTAGTCAGTTCATGTCTAAGCCTAGAACTTCACACTTACAGGCTGCATTTCGGATTCTTAAATATTTGAAGAATACACCTGGTACCGGACTCTTCTATCCTGCATATAATTCTCATATAATTCAGGCCTATTCTGATTTAGATTGGGCCACATGTTACATTACTCGCAATTCAATTACTTGATATTGTATTATTTATGGTAATTACTTAATTTCATGCAAGTCTAAGAAACAAAATACTATTTCTCAAATTTCGACAAAGGCAGAATACAGGGCACTAGCTTCAATGGCTTGTGAACTACAATGGCTTAAGTATGTTGCTGATGATTTATGTCTTGCAATTCCTCTTCCTTTTCCCACATTTTGTGAGAATCAATCTTCCATACAATTGGCTAAAAATCCCTCTTTTTAGAAAGAACCAAGCACATCAAAGTGGATTGTCATCTCATACGCGCAAAAATTCTTGAAGGTCTCATTATTCTTTCACATGTTCCATCTAAACATCAACTTGCTAATATGTTTACCAAGTCTTTGTATCCAACACCATTTCAAGCTAATGTGTCCAAATTGGGCTTAATTGATATCCACAACCCACCTTGAGAGGGGGTATTAAAGTTAGAATTTTTCTATTTTTCTCTCATGATATATTTTCTTATTATCAATTACTTTTTGTTAGTTAGTTAGCAATAGTATCTTTCTGATAAGATTTTGTTAGTTTTCCTTTTCTCAAGTGCTATATATATACAATAGAGCACATGTATTTTAAATAGGTTGATCAAATAAACAAATTCACATTCTTCATTCTCTGCGCATATGATTTTTGAAACACTAATAGTTTATGCAAATGAGCATAGCAAGTAACATTAAGTTTGCTCTTTCCAAAACTGAAAGTGCTAAAAATTTATGAAATATGTGGAAGAGCACTCCCAAAATGCTCATAAGTCTCGTGTTGGGACATTAATGAATACCTTAACCACCATCTCTGAATCCATTATGGACTTCTCATTATAAAGTTATATTAAGGACAAGGATAATATAGTAGTAGTACATGGAAGGGAATGTGTTGATTGATTGACATGTAACAGCCACAACTCTTATTATTCATGTAATTTTAATTATGATTGTAGACACTCAATTTCGTTCGGACCAACAAGAGTAATGAAATAGACATTTATCATCAAAGAAATGGAGCTCCCAAGCATGGAAATAACAAGACATGACATCAGAAGGCCTAAAAGCCCAACAAGCTGGTTTTAGTAGCCCAGAACGGGTTGTTCCAAAACTGGAACGGGTTGTTCCCAAAACTGGAATGGACCGTTCCTAAACTGCAACGGGCCGTTCCAAGTTCCTAAAAGGGCCTAAAACCCTAGTTTGGAACGGGTCATTCCTAAACTGGAACGACCCGTTCCAAACTCCTAAAAAAGGGCTAAAACCTTAATTGGAACAGGTTATTCCTAAACTGGAACGGGCCGTTCCAAGTTATTAAAAAAGCCTAAAAACCCTTGTTTGGAACGACAGTTTTAGTCTAGTCAATTATGTGTTAATCTCATCTCTGGAATGGGCCGTTCTAGTTTCAGAACGGGCCATTCCGGTTACAAAATTAACATAGAACGGTCAGATCCAGAACGGGCCATTCTGGTAACTTTTTGATGTCTATAAATAGACAGCTCGGGCACAGTTCTCAAGGTCCCAAAACTTCGTCCAAGACTCTTTAGAGCTCGAAATTTCTCTCTTTCTCTCCTATTGTATTTCTTGAGTTTTGTGAGGCTTATTGTAGTGTGAAAGGTTGCCACAAAGCACCTAAAAACCTCCATATTTGAAGATTTAATAGAGCTCATTCAAGAGGTATTTCAGTCAACCTTATCTCTCCCTTTTATTTCTTATCTTTTATAAACATTGTTATAATAAAAGCAATCATGTAGAAATTTTAGGGTTAATTGTATAATTTAAATTTCAAACATGTAAATAGTCATCAATAAAAGGGGATAAATATTTATACTATTATTGTTTATAATGCTAACTTCATCATACGATACTGATTAAGGGCGTTGTAGGGGTGCTTAATACCTTCCCTACATATAACCGACCCCCGAACCCAATTTTGGTTATCAAGGCCATTATTGGATTCTTTTTTTAAAAACATTTTCTTTTTCCAATGTTTTGAGTAAAACATTGGTGGCGACTCCATGAACCTATTTTTCAAAACCATTAATTAAGGATTTGTCTGGTGTCCGGGCATTCCTTAATTGATAAGATTTTCAAAAGGATGTCGGATTGCGACGATGGCGACTCCACTGGAGACATTTTAAGAGGGTCAGGCCCAAATAAATGATGAAGTTAATAAAATAAGAATAATAATTTAAATATTTTTCCCCTTTACCTTGTTTGTTTTCTTTGTTTGGCTTTGATATTTATTTGCTTGTTTAAAATTCTGCACATGTTTAAATTAACAACTGTACACAAACCATAGCACACAACAGTCCCCTACACCTTGGGGCATGAGGGTATTAAACATAGGGAGTGGTTGACGTACGACCGACCCAAGTTTGGCCTTGGAGCCTGCGAGCCTTGTCAGAAATCACACTCAAGGTGATAACCGGTTACTCTAGCCCGAAATACTGTGACAGACCTTAGAGTTTGTCAGGTGACGGCGACAAAGATACTGGGTCCCTATAATGGGGGCACCTTGGGGGCCTTAAAGACCAGTGTGATTAGAACCGTCCTATACAACACATTTTTCTTGACAGAGACCACAAACCAAGGATTTGAACACGATCGTTCGTGGGTGTACGTTGATTGAGCATGTGTGTGTGCATTTGTTTGTATTATTTTGTTCTAATAAGATGGATTGGAATTTTAAAATAATCAAACCATAATAAAGAAATAAAATAATAATAATAAAATTTTTATACTCCTTTGTACATTCTTAGGTAGCATTCCATCAGCATCATATAGGTAGTTTCTTTTTTAAAAAAAATGAATAAAAGAAATCTCATATCCATACATCATTCCCCTTTAGATAATAGAAACATGATAAAGATTAGGCAAAAAAAAAATGAAATGCATTCTAGATTAGCTCATTAATTTCATTTATTTTTTATTAGCTAAGGAGGATTAGATTGTAGTACGTATAGAAAGTTAAGAAAGGTGAATGCTCTAGTATACGACAATATCTACGCTCTAGAGAAAAACCCAAATCAATTTTTAAAAAATACTATGGCTGGGCCCTTGCTTTGATATGTTTGTTAAATAAGTCTTCTTAGAATCTAATATAGATTCTCGCTTAATACTGTCAAAATCTATTTGAGCATTCACAGATAAACAAATTAATGAGACTGATATTTATCATTCTCAACTTTCTCTACATTTTGCATTACATTCATTTAGAACATATCCTTCCTTGTAAAAGAATAAATGAAGAATAAAAAAGGAAAAATAACCTATGTGCATTAGTCGGTAATAATGGAAAGTAAGCCATGCATAAAGAGTTTAGGGTAAAGAACTCCACAATCATTAAGACGCCAACTCTTGCCCCAAGAGGATAAAGCCATGTCGTGCAACCGTGAAATCCAAGCAGAATAGGAGAAACGACTAGGAATGGATGGATCCACACTCCTAACGAGTTGCAAGCTAATAAAGAGAACTTGAGGAGGACGAATCCCTCAAACACTAAGGCAAAGTGAATAAGCTTTCTTGAAAGATGATTTCAACAGGAGAGAAACGTTACTTGTTAAGAAGCTACTAGAATGAAAACCCGCAAAGGGCATTCTAGGCAAAAAAAATGAAAAGAAAAAAGAGCAATGTTTGTTCAAGTTGAAAATCGAGAGACAGCTTGAATGTTCCTCTTGAGAAGCAAGACTCCATGGAAAGCTCTATCATCGCTTTTACCCATTCCTACTTCTTAGGAAAGTATCAGGATATGGGTTGACA